CTGCTGCTGCTGCTGCCACTGCCACGACAACTGCTGCACGACTACTGCTGCTGCCGCGACAGCTGCTGCTGCTAGTACTAGCACCACCATTCGCAGCATAGTAGAGTGATATTGTGTATGAGTAATTGTGGATCGGCCTAGCCAAACGATGCAGGTGATTGCCGTGAAGTTCGTGCGACCGCAGCACCTGTACAAGGTGCTTCCTGAATGCCTGACAATGTTCCTCGGCATGACCCACGAGTTGAATCAATATGCACTGTATCTCCGCAGCAGCCCGGCCCAGTCGGCAGGGTTGCTGTCAAGCAAGGCAGAGGATGAGGCGAAGCAGGCAATTCTGGAATCTATGTCCCGAGAGTGGAAACTTGTTTTGTCCCTGGAAGCCAGGCCTCAGGCACGAGCATTGCTTCATCAGCATTGTGGGTACGTGCTGTATCAGCAGTATCGAGAAACCATGGGTTTTTTCGAGCGGTCGGGGTTCAAGCTTACACGCGACGGCACGGAGCTGCTACAGTCTTGGTTTCCGGAAGTGCCGTGGAGTGCCAATCTTGAATCAGTTTTCGGCGAAATGCAACACGCGGTTCGAAGAACCGGAAAGGCTGATGTTGGATCCTTATCGAATCTGATGTCGGTTGCAATTCGTGGATTGGAGAGGCGAGTTTTCACGGACGCGGACGAGAACCCCAAGCCACTGCGACTGGTGCCAGAAGACTGGGTCGGCAAGCAAACCAATGCTTTGAAGTCCAAGATGTTTAGCCCCACCTCAGCCCAGCCCTGCAACTCGGCAACATATTCTTTGTGGTTTCTGGGGAGAACATTCTTGTCTCATTCAACAGCACGAAAACAGAGAGAGCGACGGAGTGAAAGATTGCAGGTAGTTAGTTCTTACTTACCAAATCAGTTTCAAGGCAAGAATGTGAACTTGGACAACATTGCAAAGCCGTTTCCATCGACGTCTGCATTTCATCACACGCAGCATTCGCTGAACTTCATGAAAGGGTTGCTGGAAGCAGACAGGAGCCTCGGAGTTCGTTTGTTATTTTTTGTAAAGGCCGTAAGTTGAGGGGTCCTCTCTCTCCGCTGACTGAAAAACTAGCTGCCGTTGTCGCAAGGCAGGTAATCTGAGGGATTAAGACAATCAAAAGGCAAGGGCTGAGCCCTGTTGCTGCCAGCACCTCCTTTTGGGTGCCCAACTGCTTCAGCGCCGGCACGCTTCTCCAGAAGGACAACACGTTCTTCTTGTCGACAGGAAAGACGCCGGGGAGGTTGTATGTTTCTCGGTTGCTTTGTCATTGTTTCGCTTCCTGTGATTTATCCAAAATCAACGTGGGACAAGGGGAGAAAAGGGCAGCGACGGCAAGGGTGAGCACAACCCACAACAAGCAAGACCAGCACGACGACGGCGACGATGCAGACGGCGACAGGGACGAAAACGACAACAATAACAACGACGACGAAGTAAAACAAAACATAGACGAACATTAGACCTCATCTAGTCATCTAGTTTTCAATCAGGGTTCAATGCTAGGGTCTTATTAAGGATTTGAGGCATATATGGAAGTGACAGTTGCGATGTGAGGCTGTGCAGCTCAAGGAGCTTCCATGGCTTTTTTCCGGAAAGCTCCCGGCACGGCAGATGGACGAGAAGTGCATGCCGGCAAGCAATACGGGCACCGTCGCCGACGTTTTGGGAGCTGGTCAGGCAACAAAGGCCTTGTGCTTGGATGTCGGAAGGACAGAAAGCACGCACGTGGAACGAGTAGTACATAAAATCAGTCATTGACCCACACGTGTTCGTTTCGCTTCCCAGCACAAAAGCCCTGAAGGACACTCATGCATCAGTTTTTGCTCAAGACCTCCGAGGCCCGAGTTCGGTTTTGCTTGGGTACGTTTTGATCTTCCGTCGTGAAACACAAATGTCGTTTAAATCTCAACTCTAAATCTCAACCACCGTAAAAGGTGCAGCTGTTTGAGTACACGGTGCATTTGGCACCGAAAGGTGTCGAGGACAAGTGTGGCTGCGGCTTCCTGCTGCGACGAGGAGTCAAAAGCTACGGCCTCGTGGCTTACTTGGTCCACACTTTGGAGATCCTGAAGCTGCACAGCGCCACGATCAGCGAGATCCTTTTCGAGGCTGACATCCGGCTGCCCAAGAATACAAGCAAAGGCCTGAAGATCAGACGTGTTCTCGAGATGGATTCGGTCAAAAATCATGTTTCCGAGGGCACCATCGCCAGCATACAGAAGATTCTGGATGAGCAAGACGAGAAACGGAAGC